CCACTGTGAGCAGCACCATCCCTAGGCAGGTGGGCCTGAGCTGTATAAGTGAGCCTGGGAGCAAGTCAGTGAAGAGCATTCCTAAACCCTTTCCTCTCCAAGTCGTTTTTGGTCAACATTTTATCACAGCAACTGAGAAGAAAACTAGAACAAAGGGAAACTGGGAGTACTTGTCCTTAGAGGACAGCAACTGCCTACAGCCACTCAAACTCTTCATAAGGGGTCGAGGATCACATCATTTAGTGATATGACAAGCATGTTCAACAGGAATGGTGGCAGGGAGGGAACAGAAGGCAGACATTGAAGGTCACTTCAAGAGAAAAGAAAAGAAGAGAGGGGAAGGGGAAGGGGAAGGAAAAGGGAAGAGAAATTCCTATTGAAATTCCACCTCAAGTAGACTGCAAAAGAGCAGTGTGACTCCCTGGAAGACAGGAAAAACCCAGAAAAGCTAGGAAATAGGCTTGAGAGCAGCTGAAGCCACTAAGCACATGCTACACCATGTAAGGAGGTAGGGATTTGAAAAAATATTATAGCACTTTTAACTCTTCAGTCTTCTTGGAAGGGGTGGGGAGGGTTGAGATCAGGATGACCTCAATCTCATAGAGACCTGCCTCTGCCTCCAGAGAGCTAGGATTAAAGGCATGCCCCACCACACCTGGCACTTTTCGGTCTTTATATACATTCTTTCAGATCATTTTCAGTAATCTAGTAAGGTCTGTAAAGAAGAGGGTATTCATATGTAATAGATGAGGAAATTGAAGCTAGGAGAAGGGAGTGACTCACCTACAGCCACCCTACTAACAGGCAAAGCTGAGCTTTTCTCCCAGACTGCTCTAAAAAATAGACTCTGAGGCTGGGAGTCAGTGCCTCACAGAGTTGAGAGTATGGATGAGTTTTCTGAAAGGTTCAAAGTCAAGAACAGAATGAACAGAATTGGATCTAATAATACAATATAAAGAAACTAGCCCAGTATATTCTTCAAGCAAGAGAAAAAGAGACAAGATAACACCAGTACATAATGATCATCTAGTATAAAGTCAGAATCTCAAACACAAGCTATTTTAAAAGAGAATCCAATCCCAGGACCCACAAGGTAGAAGAAGACTGACTTCAGCAAGTTGTCTTCCGACTTCCAGATGTCTGCCACGGAATGTCCGTATACACACACATACACACAAATAAATAAATATAATTTTTTAAAAACAAGAGTCCAGGGGCTGGAGAGATGGCTCAGCAGTTAAGAACACTGGTTGTTCTTGCAGAAGACCCAGGTTCAAATCCCAGCACCCACATGGCAGCTAACAATTGTCTGTAACTCCAATTCTAAGGGATCCAATGGCCTCTTCTGTCCTCCATGGGCAGTGCACGACACGGGTGCACTTACCTACATGCAGGCAATACACTCATAACATAAAATAAAAATAATAAAATATTAAAAACAAAAAACAAGAGTCTAAGACATCATCGGTGAAGTTAAAGAAAAAGTCATATCAAATAACTGTGAATCAACATTAAACAGTCAACCAATGATGAGTAAAAGAATCATCCAGGACTAAGAAAATACACCAAGATGACTGAACAATGTAAAAACAAAACAAAACAAAAAAACCCAAAAAACATAAGGCCCAGGTAGGTCTTCACCAATGATGAGACACAGGAAGGACTTAGCAGAGGGTCTGCATGAGACAGAGCAGCTGGCTCTGAATGGCTAACTGCTAAGAGTACAGAGCTCATATCACAGTAGTATTAACATCTGAAAGCCACGTCCTTCCCCACAGTCTCCAAATTGTGGCCAAAAAACCCCAAACTCAGTTTACTGTGATCTCAAATGTCTCTTAATGAGGAGGGCAGACTCCAGACTCTTGCTCGACCTCTCTTATTGGCACCATCTATAATAGGTGCTGTGCTCTCTTCCTTTGAGAGATAGTCCAACATTCCCAAAGGAGGTGGCTACAGTAGAAGACTCTAAGGGCTGGGGTACAAGGGACACTGTTCTTGGGCTTCATGAAGCCAATGTAGTAAGCACATGAACCACCTCCAACCTAAAGAGTCCCTTCTATACCCAACTCCACTCCAGTCTCCAGAAGCCAGCAGAAGTCCACAGGTAATCACCAAGACAAAGTCACCAGCATACCTTTCACTTCCCATTCACTATCCCACTTTCTTTTAGTCCTTACACATACTTAGCCCACAGACATACAAGCCTGGCTAATAAGCTTTAAAACGGGAAGCATTAGGGAGAAACTGAGGAGGAGACAAAGCTCAACAGCTCCATTTTCCACCCTGAGCTCCCACACACTTAGCCTCTCCACTCCCTGCTAGTCTTCCCTTTCCTCTTTCCTAAGATTGCTAGAATGATTTGTTCTAAACAGCGACAGGTTTATAGGTTAGCCGACACCTCTGCTCTGTGGAATTTTAATTAACTTCTCCCATCGTCAATATGCTAAGGAATGGGGTCTCCATTCTCTGAGGTCAGCAATGTGTTTCAGGTCCTGCTATATCAGCCGTCAAATTGAAGAATTAATGACGTGACTAATCGGCTCTAATTCTTAAGAAAAAAAATTGAAAGAGAGGTGTGGAAGACAGCAAGAGGAGGGGCACAAGCTCCACAAGGTGAGGAAAAAGAGGCTAAAGGGGGCTAAACAAAGGGGGCACCAACTTGCTTATAAAAACAAGTGTCTACACTTGGAAGTAGGCAGGCCTACAGCTTTCCCAATTCCATTTGGGCGGAACATGAAGTATCAAGAACTACAATAAGACAGAATCTACTTTGATGGTACAAGTATAGGAGAGAGTGCCTATAAACTCCATTAGAGAGGAGCGAACTTGCCTTAGTTCAAAAGAGCCTAGACTAAAGTACAAGATATAGTTTAAAGGAAGTGCACATTTTTGTTTTGTTTTGTTTTGTTTTTTGTCTTTTTGAGACAGGGTCTCCTTGTAGCCCCAGCTGTCCTAGAACTCACTATGTAGACCAGGCTGGCCTCGAACTAACAAAGATCTGCCTGCCTCTGCCTTTGAAATGCTGGGATTAAAGGCGTGCACCACCACGCCCAGCTTAATTTTTTTTTTTTAATTTTTATTTTATGTGTATGCGTGTACTGCCTGCATGTAGGTAAGTGTACCCATGTCATGTAATGCCTGCAGAGGACAGAAGAGGCTGTCAGATCCTCTAGGACTGGAGTTAGACACAGTTGTTAGCTACCATGTGGGTGGTGGGATTCAAACCTGGGTCTTCTGCAAGAACAACCAGTGTTCTTAACCGCTGAGCCATCTCTCCAGCAAATATTTTATTTATTATTTTTATTTTATGTGTATGAGTGTACTGCCTGCATGTATGTGAGTGCACCCATGTAGTGCAATGCTGCGGAGAAGAGGGCATCAGATTCCCTTGGAACTGGAGTTAAGGACAGTTTGTAGCCACCATGCGGGTGCTGGGAATTGAACCCTGGTCCTCTACAAGAGCAGTCAGTGCTCTTAACTGCTGAGCCGTCTCTCCAGCCCTAAAGGAATTTTCTTTATAGAACTCAATACTATGTACAATGAATATATGCCAATAAAATACTTTAATAATAATAATAACAAAAGAGAACCAAGAAAGCAGAAGTCAGGATGTGGTTCCCTAGTTTTTTATTTTACTTTTGGATGTTTGGTTTTGTTTTTTGAGGCAGGGTCTCATTCTGTAGCCCAAGCTGGACTGGAACTCATAAATGAGGTGCCTCAGCCTCCCAACTGCTAGGATTACAGGCATGAGCCACGATATTCAATGGCACATTTCTCTAATTAGAGCTAAAGAAAAAGTCATATTTGGTGGCTCACATTTGTAATTCCATCCCTTTGGAGGTTGAAGCAGGAGGATTACTAGTTTGAGGCTAGTCTGAGCTATGTAGTGAATTCCAGAGCAGACTGGACTACACAGCAAGACAGTTAAAAAAAAAAAAAAAAAAAAAAAGCTGCATTTCTGCTACAATTGTCACTGTTTCTGTTCCTCTATTTTATGTGTTTGGTTAAGGGCCCAGTTAAATACAGGCCCCAAACCTTTCCTCCTCTTTTGATGACTACAGCCTGTAAGGGATACTCCAGAGGACATTTTCAGGGGAGCAAAGCAGAGATGACTAGTAACAGCAGGCTAACTACTGCTGTCACCTCTCAGGGATACTGAGAAGTCACATCCCAGTGCAGTATCGATCAGATTAACATTTCTCAGGTTAGATGCTTAGAAAAGGTTACCTCAACCCCACAAATATGTGAAAAGACCTAACGACCTCAAATCACTGGAAAAATTTTAAATCCCCAAGACAGTGCCTCATAGCAACCTTAGAATATATTGGTGGGAAGTTTTCTAGTTCATCTGACCTAATTAAATGAAAATATTCTCTTTTTATTATTAGTTATCCACTTTTTATTTTTAAGATTTATTACTTATTTATTTTATTTACGTATTTACTTTTTGAGACAGGGTCTTACCATGGAGCCCTGACTGGCCTGGAACCCGCTCTGTAGACCAGGCTGGCCTTGAACTCACGGAGATCTGCGTGCCTCTGCCTCCTGAGTGCTGGGTTTAAAGGTATGCACCACTACATCCAGCCTTTATTTTTATTTTTTTTAATTTATTCTTTTTATTTTATGTGTATAAGTGTATTGCCTGCATGTATGTAAGTGTACCAGTGTGGTACAACGCCCATGGCGGTCAGAAGAGAGCACTGGATTCCCTGGAACTAGAGTTACAGACGGTTATTAGCTGCCATGAGGGTACTGGGAATCAAACCCAGGTCCTCTGGAAGAGCAGTCAGTGCTCTCAACTGCAGAGCCATCTCTCCAGCCCTCTATTTTAATTTTTTTATGTGTATGAGTGTTTAGCCTGTTTGTATGTATATATACGACATGTATATCTGGTGCCCGAAGAGAGTGTTAAAACTGGAGTTACAGATGGCTGTGACCATTTCTCCAGCCTGAAAGCATTTTTATATGAGACAAAACCAATCCAAAAATGTCTTCCTTACCTGAGTAATGGGCTGATAGCAATGGACCAGACTCGGTCTTCAGTCTGAATGGTATGTAAGCACTGCCCCAGCTGTCCAGAGGCCAAAGGCCATACCTGGGAACAGGAGAAGAAATACTCTTATTGGCACTGCCTGGGATTCGAAGGGAGTAAAGATATACTAGGTGGGTGACTATGACTAGGGAGGTGAGGAAATAGAGAATCCTTTCTATCCTGCACACAGAGCTCAGGGTATCAGAGGGGTATCATCTACCAAGGGACCACCTTCTGACTCACCTACCATAGAGATAGACCTTGCTTCAGTCCTAACCTTCCTCCTTTACTTCCAACTGAGAGCCCTTAATTACTAGTCAATTTTTGACTAGGGAATCAGAAGTTCCATGTTCCTGGTGTAACACTTAACTAAGAAAGGATAGATAAGAGGGGGCTTGCCTCTCTCAGCAACTTCCTTGTATTTGTGGATCTTCCTTTCTCCTACCTTTTACCACAACTTTACTTGAGGCATATAGGAAGAGAGAAGAAGATCAAGGTTCAGTATGGGGAGACAGGTACAGAGTTAGAGGAGTAAAAGAAAAGCTGCAAAGCAAGAAAGAAGAGAAGAAAGACTTCAAAGCAGGAAGGTGATGTTTGTTTGTTCATAAAGCCCAGGATCCAAAGCTATTCATGTCAGCAGGGAATTTAGCACCTAGTGTCACCAAAAGTAGCAGAAAAGCTTAACTCTTTTAAGCTTCCATATCTCCACAAGTTAAAAATATTGCTTGGAGCACACTATCTGGTCCCTATCAGTCAGGAATGTACATTAGCAGCCACTCTGGGCTTAACTCTAATCAACACTCCCAGAGCCCTCTCAGCAGTCAGTGCATTTAGGAATCTCCCATTAAGCACAGGGCTCCCCCTCACCTCACCCTACCCAGATGACACACGCAGGGATGGAGGTCTCTAACCAAACAGAAAGGAAACCTCAAAAGCACAGTGCTGTCCTGACATCAGCCATAGAGGGATCCCAAGGCAGCTGGATGCATCAATGACCTCTCAAGGTCCCTGGAGTGCTATAAGAGGAACACACCAAACTCAGGCAGGTCCTTAGATGGAAGAACTTAAGAAAGCATTCCTTCAGTGTAAGGGGAAGGTGATGGAATGGGGGTGGTCCTGCCTTCTCAGGGTCACATGGGATCTCTTCCCTATAAAAAGAGAAAGTGTTTCTTAAGAGTTTGTGGATACAATGGGAGTGGGGGATGGGGTGATGTTATGAGTAACTTTTTCCAACACTAGGAAAAGAAAATAAATTTAATAAGAAGATACAACATGATGAGGGGCAAAAAATAAAGGTAAATACTACAATGTTCCCTGTAATGCCAGGATTCTGGCATATGCTTTGGGATTGACAGTGAAACCTTTGGTAGTAACTAGGTGCCCTTCTGGTTTCCCCCTGTCCCAGGTTCCACAGTCCTGGTGTGAGACTTAACTAAGAAGGGACAGATAGATGACCTTTGCCTTTTCCCTAGGAGGCAGGTTCTTACTTGCTGGGTGAGGGGGGCACTCCTGATTTACAAAATCTCTGGGGAAGCCTAAACTTCAATTTACTAGTAGCTTTCCCAGAGATAGCTAGTGGACCTCTAGATCCCACAAACCACAGAACAGGATTCCTGATCTCTGGGAATGACTCGGGAAACACATTGCCAATTCCAAGCATCACTTTGGGAGGACCTCCCAGCCTGCCCCACACCACAGCATCCTCCAGTAATATGAATATCCCACCATCTGAGGGACAGGATAGTATGCTGGATAGATCTTTACTCTCAATGCAAAGTAGACCCACCTGGAATACACTCACTGAAAGTGATTATTTACAAGGTTCTTTTGGAAGCAGACTAGAGCTAGCAAGACTCTTACAATGACTCAGGAACTCTAAGGCTGAGAATCTGTCCTAAAAAAAAAAAATCTTAAAACAAAGGAACACCTAAATGGTAAAATAGTTTCTGCAGCCTGTTGTTAGAGAAAAGCCATAGTCTTTGGACTATGACTAATCTGAGTTTGAACCCTACCCAAGATTTAATATCTTTGATCTTTGAGACATTTCATAACTTCTTGGTCCCAGCTTCATCTGCATCAAATGGGGGAAAAAATGCCTATGCCTCAGGATTGTGGTATAGGAAAGAGAAGGAAAGTACAAAGTGCTAGCACAACAGTACAGAATTTAGTAGGAATCAGGCATTTAAATGAGGATTTCTACTACCAGGTTCTTATATCCAGAAAGAAACTAGATACAAATATCCATCCACTAAAGAAAAATCTAAATAAATAAAGGTGAGTTCATTTGAAGCCCATTAAAAATGACAGGAGGAGGGCTGAGGATATAGCTCAGTTGGTAGATTGCTTGTATAGCATGCACAAAGTCCTGGGTTCCATCCCCAGTACCACATAAACCAGGTATGGGGGCACACGCCTGTGATCCCAGCACTCAAGAGGTAGAGGCAAGAGGATTAGAAGTTGAAGGTCATCCTTGGCTATATAGTGAGTTCAAAGACAGCTGTCTAAAACAAAAACAGATATAAACGCTTATTTTGTAAGAATAACAGAAAACCTCATAAAATAAAGTAGATACCATGGGGGCTGGAGAGATGGCTCAGTGGTTAAGAGTACTAGTTGCTCTTGGTACTCTTTCCAAGCACCCACATGGGCCAATTCCCAGCACCCACATGGCAGCTAACAACTGTCCATAACTCCAGTTCCAAAGGATCTGACTTTGTCTTCTGACCTCCTTGGACACTGCACTTACACACATGCACTTACACACATGTAAGCAATATACTCATACATATAAAATAAAAATAATTTTTTAAAAGTAGATACCACAAGGTATACTGTGTATCCAAAATACATTATAAACACAAATATGTAGGGAAAGATATTTACCCAAAAAGATAAAATGAGAAAATGAATAAAGTGGTTAGCACGGTTCCTGGTAATAGTTTATATTGCTACAAAATAATCCTAGCAGGCATATGGTAGCATATATATCTCCTGAGCCATAATTGCAAGTTCAAGTTTAGCCTGTGCTATATAGCAAGACCCTGTCTCAAAATAAAAAAAAGACTGCTGCTTAGCTGAAATGACATAGCACCAAACCACCTTCAAAATTCCTATGCTTACTACCTCTGACAGAGGCTACGCTCAGCCTTAGAGAAGCATCTCCTTGTAGTAAACAAAAGTGAATGCTGGGGCTGGAGGGATGGCTCAGCAGTTAAGAACACTGGTTGTTTTTGCAGAAGACCCAGGTTCAAATCCCAGAACCCACATGGCAGCTGACAACTGTCCATAACTCCAGTTCTGGGGGATCCAACAGTCTCTTCTGTCCTCACGGGCATTGCATGACACGGGTGCACTTATCTACATGCAGGCAATACACACATACACATAAAATAAAAATAAATAAAATATCAAAAAAGTGATGCTAAGTCCCATGACTGCACAAGATGCTGAGAAGAAATGACTGTTGAGGGGTCAGCTCTGAACAAGACATTTATACCACCCACTCAAGATGCAGGAAACATTGTGAAAGAGGAGGAAAGAACATAAGAGTCAGAAGATGGGGAAAAGGCTATGAAATGCCATCTTCTACGAAGGACATAGCCACAGCAATAATGAACTTACAACAGCTATGCTTACTGGCACTGAGCATACACAAGCTGGGCCCTTGTAACAGTCAGCTATGAAGGAGGAAGGGGCTCATGAAGCCCTACCATCTACTGCTGATCTATTGGCAATGAACAGATTCTGGGAGCAGGAGAGGCAAAGTATCCCATTGTATACCCACTGGTGAGGCCACCAAGTTCTGATGGTTAGTTCTAAATTCAGGGTTACACAGACAGCCCTATTTAAACTGTGTAGGATACTAAACTAAACAAAAGTCAGCAAATATTAGAGATTTGTAAAGAAGAAGGGGGCACTGGTAGGGATGGGAGGGAAATAAGAGAGAATATATTAGATATATGTATTAAATTGTCACAGAACAAAATTTATTACCTAAAATAAGGAAAGAAAAATAAAAGGGCAGGCGCAGTGACATACAACTGTAATTTCCATATCTGTGAAGTAGAAGCAGGAGGACTACCACAAATTCAAGGTCACCCTAGTTTACACAGCAAGTTCCAGGCCAGCCAGAGTTACATGGTAAGACTATGTCTCCAAAACACCAAAAGAAAAAAAAAAAATGAAAGAAAGAATATTCAAAGTAAATCTACACTTTGAAGAATGATTATCAAGCTAATGTGATCTCTCTGCCCTCTCAACTTTCTGGCCTGTTCCTTAAGAGCCTAGACTTCATAGTCTGCCCAGATCCCATTGGCTTCGCAGCCTTTCAGTACAGAGACTGTATCTTCCTCAGCTCTGAAGAACTCCACTGTTTCCTGCAACACACCTCACATACAATAGGCATTCATAACAGTGAATGAAAAGGACACAGAAATAAGGGGGGAAGTGAAAGAATGGAGAGAAGAACCAGGCAGTCCCACCAAGAACACAGGCTATAATCCTCTCCTATTCCAGGACAGGATCAGCCCTGCTAAAGCTCAGAAAAGCAATCCAAGTTGAGTAACAGTAAATCTGAGGTTGGGAATAAGGTTCCCTGGGCAATGCCTAGCTCAGAAGTCTTGCAAAAAAATCATACTTCTCTTTCCTGAAACACAGCACACACCTACAGAACACCAAAACAAACAAACAAACAAACAAAAAAACAAGGCTATAGAGGTTTATAAATAAGCACCAATTATAAGTTCTTATGTAAGCTTAGGTATATTAGAGGCCTACAGAAGCAGCTGCAGAAATGCAAATACTGCTGAAAAGAAACAAGGCCAGTTACAGAAGACAAACAGTGAGAATGTTGAAACGGGCTAGGGAAGGCGACCAGATGGAAAGACAACAGAAAGGAGGGAAACCCAAGCAGCCTTTAGAGAGTCAGAAAGATGAGCTAGCTGGGAGGCTACCAGGGAGCCCCCAGACAGGAGACCATCTTTAAGGAGGTAACGAAGAATCAGAAGAGAATTCTCTTAGTGATCTAAAAGAAATACTCAAAAAGGATGGACGGTGATGTTACTTTAAAAGTGGAGAATAGCTATTTTAAATCTGCATGTATGTCAGCCTGGAGAGATGGCTCAGAAGTTAAGAGCACTAGCTGCTCTTGCAAAGACCCAGGTTCGAATCCCATGGCAGCTAACAACTGTCCATAATTCCAGTTCCAGAGGATCTGATGACCTCTTCTGTCCTCCACAAGCATTGCATGACACGGGTGCACTTACATACATGTAGGCAATACACACATTCACATAAAATTTTTAAAAAAGAAAAAAATATCATATTTATGTATTTTTCTTTTTGAGACAAGTTTATTTTGTAGCCCTAGCTGGCCTAGAACTAGTTATATAGACCAGGCTGGCCTTGAACTCACAGAGATCCACCTGCCTCTGCTTCCCAAGTGCTGGTATTAAAGGCATACACCACCATGCCCGGCAAAAAATATAATTTTTTAAAAGTCTGCATGTAACTTTGTGAGCATGTGCGTGTGTGTGTATGTGCACTGGAATATGTGTAGGTGTGGATGCATGTGCATACGCATGTGTGCACATATGTTTGTGTACACCTGTGCAGGCCAGAAAATGACCTTGGGTGTCGTTCCTTAGGCGTGAGGACCTTATTTTTTAAGAGAGGGTTTCTCACTGGTCTAGAACTCACCAAGTAGGCTAGGCTGGCGGGCCAAAGAGCCCCAGAGATTCACCTTTCTTTGCCTCTCTAGCACTGAGATTATAAGCATATGCTACCATGTCTAGAATTTTTTTGGGTGCCGGGGATAAAACTCAGGTTCTTGTACTTTTAAGGTAAGCATTTTACCAACTGAGATATCTCCTTGACTTCTGTTTTAATTTTTTTTTTTTTCTTTTTGAGACAGGGTCTCCCTGTAGCCCCAGCTGACCTGGAACTCACTATGTAGACCACATTGGCCTTGAACTCAGAGATTCGCCTGCCTCTGCCTCCAAAGTGCTGGGACTACAGGTGTGCACCACCAAGCCTGGCCTGTTTTAAATTATTTTTATTTTTTAAAACTAAGTCACTAGGGCTGGAGTGATAGCTCAGTGGTTAAGAGCACCTGCTGCTCTTGCAGAGGACCCAGGTTTGGTTCCCAGCACCCACATGGTAGTTAACAACCATCCATAACTCCAGTTCCAGGAGGATCTAACGCCTTCTTCTGACTCCGCAGGTATTGCATGACGCGGGTGCATGTACACAGAAGCAGGCAATACACTCATACACATAAAATAAAAATAATAAATAAAAAACTAAGTCACTAATTAGGGCTGGATCTATGTATGTATTAGACATACAGACAGATAGATGAACCCCATATCCCACATAAGTTATTATTCTTTAGCTGTAAGCAGTCCATACCCTCAGATTGCAACATGTGGTCACACAGCTTATATAGGGCTCTGGATATCAGATCTCAGAGAATAAAACAGAAGGAAGAAGGAACCAAGGGAAGCCTGAAGCTATGACAGGAAGGTATGAGAGAGAAATCGGAATATGTAGTGAACATATGGCACAAAAGGCTCCAATGAAAATTTACTTGTTCTTTTTTAAAATTTTATTTTGTGTGTGTTATGTGTATATGTGCATGTACATGTGGAGGTAGTTACACATGAAGGACAGAGATCAAAGTGTCTTCCTCAATTTCTATCTTATTGCTTTTCTAAATATTATACTTACTCATTTTTATGTATGTATATGTATGTGTGTGGGTGCATGTGTGCCCTGTCATGCATGTGGAGGTCAGAGGACAACTTTGGGGAATTGGTTTTCTCCTTCTACCATGTGAGCCCTGGGGATTAAACTTAGGTCATCCAGCTTGGTGACAAGTGCCTTTACTGGAGGCACTTTTTAAAAAATATATTTTATTTTTGTTTTATGTGTATGAGTGTTATGCCTGCATGAAGGTAAGTGCACCCATGTGGTACAATGCCCACGGAGGACAGAAGAGGCTGTCAGATCCCCTGAAACTGGAGTTACAGACAGTTGTTAGCTTCCATGTGGGTGCTAGGATTTGAACCCAGGTCTTCTGAAAGAACAGTCTGTGTTCTTAACTGCTGAACCATCTCTCCAGCCCCCTTTACTGGAGCTTTTAAACAAGGTTCCTCACTAAACTTGATGCTTGCCAATTCAATTAGACTGGGTGGTCAGCAAGCTCTAGGGATCCACCTGTGTCTGCCTCCTCAGCACTGGGATTACAGCCATGATTCACCACACTCAGATATGAGTTCTGAAGGTCCAAATCAGATCCTCACGCCTGCATGGCAAATACTTTCCTGGCTGAGCCATCTCACAGCCTCAAATTTACTTTTGAATAGTATGTCAAGTTAAGGCCAGTATCTTTACAAGAAATGCTACAAAGTCATTGACCAAGCCAAATCTGAAGAGTATGGGACAGAGGAAGAAGAATCAGGTGACAGGAAATTCAGTGTCCAAGAAGGTTCAAAATATTTGCTGAAGTAAGGTGTGGTGGCATACACTTTATAATCCCAGCACTTGAAAAATGGAGGCAGCCCATTGTGGTAATGCATACCCTCAATCCCAGCACTTGGGAGGTAGATCTCCCAGAAATCTGCCAGCCTGGTCTACATAGTGAATTCGAAGCCAGCCAGGACTACAGGGAGACCCTGTCTCCAAAAACTAAAAAATGAAAGGAAAGAAAGGAGAGGGGAAAGGAAGGGGGAAAGGAGAGGGGAAAGGAGAGGGGAAAGGAAAGGGGAAAGGGGAGGGGAAAGGGGAGGGGAAAGGAGGGGGG